TATAATTGTTAAGTACCCCCAAAGAAATACTTTTACATTTATGCCAGCTGCCATTCTGATGTAGATAATTATTACATGGTTTGTATTGGGTATTACGACCAAGAAATGTTACCTCTGTTGACAACTAATCGCTAAAACGAAATTGTATAAAGTCTGTGCAGTTGTAGCCGATAGACATACGGACTCCAATCAAACAGATTACCCCACACAGACGTGTCGGCGCAGATGGCAAGATGCGCTGGAGTAAACTTTTTCCTCACACTCATGATTGCGTTGTAATACAGTCTGTTATCCCTTGAATATAAAGCGTCTTAAAGTAATTTCCTGGAGACTGTGTAGCCGTTATACAATTTATAACAGTACAATTCTTCTCGATTAATCTTAAGTGGGTGTCCAGCTAATTATTACAAACATTATTATAGCAGAAAGATTTTCAAGAGAGTGTCCGAAAGTAAAGAGTAGATTATTGTGAAACGGCGGATCAGGATTTTCTTTCGTAAGCTTACTTTTCCAAGGAACATCGGTATTATCTTTTTTATAATTGTAAAGTAAACCCAAAGAAATATTCTTGTACACAGTAATAACCCATGGCCTTCGTACACTGCTCTGGGCATAGCATGAGTCTTTCGACTTATACATTGCAACCTTGAAGTAAACCGATACGATACGTCTAATAGGATAACCTCTCTCTTTGTAATCTAGATCCGTTTACATCCGGATTTGTAGATAGTTCATACTACTAGCTGTTAGTGGTATAGCTTGGGGTCAAAGGTTACGGATTTGTAGTGGGTGATGGTCGTAAACATCGGCAACCGATTAAGTAATGGCAGTAACGTTAACACGAACATGCTTGCACTGCTCTAGTAACGTTTGAATGAACCAAAACGTTTCCATGACGATTTAAGCATCTATGATTGTCCGGCAGATGAATGCGTTGGCCACCCACAAACATTTTCTCGAACCAGATCGTTTCCATTTCGGTAAAATACAATAGAAACGTTTCCAAACGTAACGTAATGTTGTCTTTTACCATAATCAACACTATTATGATTTTATTTAAACAGAAAGTTGAAAGGATATGCAAATGAGCTAAGATAGTGATGGACAGCGACATTAACTCGTTTGTCGGAGCGTTCTGGTGGCGTATAATTAGATAACACCATAGCTCGCACTAACGTAAGGCGAACACCAAAGTACGTAATGTTGACAAACACTACAGAGCCGAGGGCGTAATGTTCTTCGTGTAACCCCGAGGACGTACGCTATTACCCGTGGCCCCGGGCTAGACAACCAAAGGATAATTCTCGTAGACATAATTATATGGATTATAGACTGGAATAATTGGAGTTGTATATATTTAACAACATGGCCGTTATTTGCTCATCTTGGTCTTACACTGGTTAGATATAATGATCGGGCCAAGTACATGTATATGTCTGAAAGCTCCAGAGTACATATTATGTATAAATACATTAAACATTGTCAATTAAAGGCGACGTGTTTTAACTAATAAACACTGTTTATGAACGACAGAACAGCAAATGCATTAATTCGTAAACGAAAATTACAGGATTTACTGGTTTGTAATAAGATCCCGTCTGAGTTCGGTATTGTTTCAAATGGTGTTTACGTTGGCGTCTTTGCTGTCAGGAAGGCATTGCAATATATTTGTAAACCATATATAAAATGCGGATATGGTATTAATACACGAGCATTTATCAGATTATGTATACATTGTTAGCGTGAACTGAATTCCAGTATTATTAAAACTGCAGAATTACAATTGCTGATGTGTTAGGCCAGTACGTCTACGTAAGATTACATCTGAGTAAGTGTTAGGACGTAAGTAGTGCTGGTAAGAGAGTGGCCTGTGACACACTCGGGGTCGGTATTCAGGGAATGTACGCGCGATTGGACTGAGTAACACGGGAGGGTACGATCTGTCAAAGTAGACATGATGTCCGCTTGTATTTATAGACGTTTATAGGTAACGCTATCAAATCATCATAAAACAGCTACCAGCTACGATCATATACTGTATATTAGCGTCTTTATACATATATATATACACGTATCCCAGATATATTTATTCGAAACATTCTTAAAAAGACTCGAATGTAAACAGTAATTGTTGAGTGTTATTTCGAAAAGGTTTACAAAATCGTTCTTTTGTTTTGTTCTGGCACGATTCCACAAATCGCCATCAAAAGATAGACATACAGACTGACTATTCTTCTTTGTGTATGTCGATACATATGTATTGACTTATCATATTCTCTATCAAATTGGCTAAATTAACGTTAATATGGAAACAAAATAAAGCGTTTAATATAAATTTAAAACCTTAAGAATATTTAGTAATACATAACACATGAATAACAAATTAAACCCAAAAACCAGAACTGTGCCTGGCAGAAAGGCACATGTGATTACAGGGACAGAAAGGTATAGTTGTCACATATGTAGTATGCCAGTCCATTGACCGCAAAGTTGGAGGTTCGAATCCCACAGACGGTGGGATGTGGATATGTCCTTGACCTTTGTTGCCAACCCCATCCTGATCAACAGAAATGCTACATGATCTTGGCAGAAAATTACAACCAAGTATCTTTTACATTTATGCCAGCTCCATTCTGATGTAAGGAGAATTATTACATGGTTTGTGTTGGGTATTACGACCAAGAAACTTGACCTCTGTTGACAATTATTTGCTAAAACGAAATTGTATACATGTAAAGTCTGTGCAGTTGTAGCCGATAGACATACGGACTCCAAACGGCGCACATGGCAAGATGCGATGGAGTAAGTGTTTTCCTCACACTCCTGATTGTGTTTATTAAGCGCCTTAAAGTAATTTTCTGGAGACATATAGCCTTTATACAATGTATAACAATAAAATAGTGCTCGAATAATCTTAAGTGGCTGTGGAGTATGTTTTCAATCCGTGTACATAGTTGATTTTACTGTTGCTTTACATTAGATACTATTGTTGAAAGTGTACAAATGCTGTGTTTGACATTACTTTATGTTTATTAATTTTCAGTTTTAAGGGTTGTAGTAAATTATATAATTATGGAGAAGCGGCGACTTCCGCAGGGTGAATTGTTCGTTATTATTTTCATTACCTATTCAACAAATAATGAGATGCAGCCAGAACACTTTTTCAAGGGTGTCCCCATTCTAGACGTTACGTGGACACTGTCAAACGCCCTAAACGTCACGACCAACCGGGTTGTTTGTGTTTGTTTGTGTTTTACGTCCTAATAACAGCTATGGCCAAACAACCTAGACGTCAACACTGACCAGGGCTGGTCACTTTACGTTAACGTTAATATTAAAGTTTTGACATAACTTTACCTGTTCATAATTTCGCTTTCATGTAAAAAAAAAAAAAAAAAAAAAAAAAAAAAAAAAAAAAAAAAAAAAATGGCTTGACGTTGCTTAACAAACACCTTTCATGGTAACGCATTGCGTTACATTAGCATAACTGCCAACTCTCCCTATTTTGGAGGAATATTCTGGACTTTGAATTCTAAAATTGAACATTTTCAACCAGTGAATCTGATAAACTAATCCTATTATGTAAGATCTGATTATTTCATTCGAGAGAATAGTTCATCTATGTCATTTTAAAGTGTTAGTTTGTCTCTAGAGGTATGCTCACACATTTTATCAATGCTTTTAATTTTGAGCACGCGTTATCTCCAACATGTTGTCAAGTATGCATCAGTTTCCTGGTTGGACTTTACATTGGCTTCTATGGTTTGACTTTACATTGGCTTCTATGGCTTGACTTTACATTACCTTCCATGGGTTGACTTTACATTGGCTTCTATGGTTTAACTTAACATTGGCTTCTATGGTTTGACTTTACATTAGCTTCTATGGTTTGACTTTACATTAGCTTCTATGGTTTAACTTAACATTGACTTCTATGGTTTAACTTAACATTGACTTCTATGGTTTGACTTTACATTGGCTTCTATGGATTGACTTTACATTGGCTTCTATGGTTTGACTTTACATTGGCTTCTATTGTTTGACTTTACATTAGCTTCTATGGTTTAACTTAACATTGACTTCTATGGTTTGACTTTACATTAGCTTCTATGGTTTGACTTTACATTAGCGTCTATAATTTGACTTTACATTGGCCTCTATGGTTTGACTTTACATTGACTTCTATGGTTTGACTTTACATTAGCTTCTATGGTTTTACTTTACATTGGCTGCTATGGTTTGACTTTACATTAGCTTCTATGGTTTGACTTTACATTGGCTTCTATGGTTTGACTTTACATTGGCTTCTATGGTTTAACTTAACATTGGCTTCTATGGTTTGACTTTACATTGGCTTCTATGGTTTGACTTTACATTGGCTTCTATGGTTTGACTTTACATTAGCTTCTATGGTTCGACTTTACATTGGCTTCTATGGTTTGATTTTACATTGCCTTCTATGGTTTGACTTTACATTGGCTTCTATGGTTTGACTTTACATTAGCTTCTATGGTTTGACTTAACATTATCGTCTATGGTTTGACTTTACATTAGCTTCTATGGTTCGACTTTACATTGGCTTCTATGGTTTGACTTTACATTAGCTTCTATGGTTTGACGTTACATTGGCTTCTATGGTTTGACTTTACATTGGCTTCTATGGTTGGACTTTACATTAGCTTCTATGGTTTGACTTTACATTGGCTCCTATGGTTTGACTTTACATTGGCTTCTATGGTTTGACTTTACATTGGCTTCTATGATTGGACTTTACATTGGCTGCTATGGTTTGACTTTACATTGGATTCTATGGTTTAACTTAACATTGGCTTCTATGGTTTGACTTTACATTGGCTTCTATGGTTTGACTTTACATTGGCTTTCTGGTTTGACTTTACATTAGCTTCTATGGTTTGCTGGTAACATAACATTAACTTTAAGGGCTGGGTGTACACAGTAAGTGTAGGGTTTTGGGTTACCGAGATGGACGGGTTACTTACCTCTCTTGCATTTCTTCTTCCACTTTTTTTTGAGAGATCTTGTTTTATTTTTGTCCACAGCCGGAGGATGGTGAATGTGTATTGTAATACTTTTTTCAGGATCCTCCCCCGGGATACCGTCCACCGCAATGACCTTGGAAGAAGAATTAACACCCCCCGCCACGGCACTTTCATTGATATTAGAATCCACACTCCCGGCCATGGCACTCTCTTTTATATTAGAATCCTTAATCCCAGCCATGCTGCTCTCATTTGCCGTGGGGTGGGTATCATCATCCTCACCCCCAGTGTCCTGTTCAGGAAAAGTTTCATCTACGGAGGTATGCTCTGTAGTAGGTGGGGTTACACCTGATGGTGCCTTTGAGAATGCGTCTCCCTCGGGATCCTGTCCCGGGGGAGTGGGAGTAGTTACGGACACAGACGGAATATCGTTTGGATTACTTCCCTCCGGATTTTGCACAAAATCAACAATCACAGTTGTGTTATCAACATGATCCGACAGCTTCCTTGTTTGATTCCTTTGAAGCAAATCCTGTTCAGATAAATGAGTTGAGTCTGATCCTGATAAATCCCTATGCGGGATACGTTGAAGCTGGGAATTTACCGCCAAATTCATAAGTGGGTGTCCAGCTTCATCGTCCCCTCTACCAAACAAAAAGGAATGCAACAAGTCGTGCATGTGTTCATTGTCCTCGAGCCCCATGGTCGCGTTACCTGGCCGCGCGAGGGCCGGGGACCAGATGATAGTACTCGATTCGGGTTCATTTAACTGCCTAGGAGTCAAGTCCCCAACTCCACTCTCCCCAACAGCAGCTAAGTGGCCGTCTTCAACCAACTTTTTAACAATTTTGTTGAAGTCAGTTGTAAATTTTTTCTTGTCCTGCTTCTTCTTGGCTTTTCTTGCCGTCTTCTTGGATAAACTACCTTTATCGGCGCTTGTCGTCTGCGACTGTGCCAAGTTGGAAGGAAGTTCCTGGTTCGCGATACCAGTTCCACTTGAGGGGACATCTGGAGCAGGCGTGTCCATTAACATATTAATAAGGCGACCTGGGCTACCAGTGTATACAAAACTGGCCTCTAATAACAGGAATATAGCCAAATCACAACGGGGTCGATCACAGTTTCCAACACATTACCTTGAAGAAACTTGTTCGAAACTATTTACGGTAGACATTTTCCAACACATCCTGTAGGCTGTACTGAGGTTTTGTACCGCGGGATAGCACTGACGATCTGGATTACCTGAGCAATACCTGTGATGGATGTGGCCGTTGATAGAGATGCGCTAACCGCCATACCTGTACCGTGACAGGTTTATGTGTCGGTGACGTCAGCGGGCCTGAAACACCTGTACTGGAGTAGGAATGGTCTATTTTTGAAGATTGTTTATGAGTAATTACGTGAACAGTGACGCTGGCTTATTGTCTAACAAAAATAACGATAGGTCAATGTGTTAGGAAATTGATCATTATACATGTACCGTCGACAAAAAACTTGCGCCTAAGTCTGAAGGTGGGGGCAAATCCTGCATAGGTTTTCCGGACTTATCCTAAAGTTTTAACAACAAACATTTATAAGTTAAGTCAACATATTTGTGACAAAATATCCTGTTCGTGTTTTGTTTACATCAATGTTTCTGTTTCTTGGTAATCAAACAAATTGCAGTGTTGCTGATTTGCATTTCACAAAAGTTGCGAAATTTTCGATCCAGTGTAGAATAAACCGTTCAGTTTAAAGGCAAAGCAGGTTTTAATTAAACGAGGTCGATCGTTTTCTAATTATAATTTAGTATCTTCCTTACTTTCGGTATCACATTCTACAAATTACGGGGATTATAAAACGTGTTCAAAGGATGATGGATCAATGAAAGCAGGTTATAAAATAACCAGACATGAGTCGTTCACTGGTTATGTTACTAATTGATGGTAGTAGCACGCCGTACGTAGTACATACCCAATCCATAACCCTACGTCATCTGACCTCCCATCAGCTGTGTCATTCATTTAATCAGTCATGACCCCAGCTTGTCAGTTTTTCTACTAACTTTAAAGTTTTGTTTTGTATATTCGCACACGTCATAGATTTACAAAGGGGACCAGTCAATCTTGAAACATTGCGATACGTTTGATACGTGCTTTGGTTTTGTATAAATTAAATCCTTGAAAAATACATATTTCCAAACTGACGAATCTGAATTTATTGAATATAGCCGGGCACATATGTAAACTAGTATAACATAAGGACATTTGTAGAAAAACTTATTTATAATCTCTAGACTACCAGAAAATAACCGTCATATTTTGGTTCGTTCGGTTCCTGTACACCTTGGGAATGTTTTAACATGTGTCCTTAAAGCTTGTATGAAAATGGCTGGTATTTATGAAAGAACTGTACAGTTTTCTCACTAAATATGACACTACTACTGATCTGGTCACAACACTTCGGAACGTGTAGAACCCGTCAATATTGACCAGTAGGGCGGTGTTGATGGAGTACAAGGCCCCAGGCTAATTGTATCCATGTGATGCAATAACATGTTCTATGATGGTACATGTCTGGCACGACACCGGGTGTGAGTGGCCATGTCTATATTATATATGTATACATATTAACATATTTATTGCTCCTTGCAATAACGTGTGTTTTTAGCTGATCTAGACAATTCGTCTATTTGCTACTATTGACCATCCATCATAATTATTATACCTTTAAGTATCTACGTCATTGTATCGACCAATCAGAGGCTCCCTACAACAGCAAGAACAAATCACTGTCTACACTGTAAATACATGCGTCTTACATCTCATTTTGAATGTCTTCTTTCCATAATATTAATAATTATTTCTGATTCTTGTACGTCAATAAATATGGACTTTGTGAATTACTAGTTTGAACATTTTGTCCATAATTGCTAAAGTTTTGGCATCGTTCCCATCAATGCTGTTTGTTGTATAGGTTAACTAATTCGGACACTATAGATTTCAATGGGTTTTTTCCTAAATTTGGCAACGTGGTTTACTAGTTTTGACATCGTGAACGGTAATATTTGAGGCAGATTTACTAGTTTTGACATCTTGAGAGGTAATATTTGAAGTAGATTTACTAGTTTTGACATCTTGAACGGTAATATTTGAAGTAGATTTACTAGTTTTGACATCGTGAGCGGAAGTATTTGAAGTAGATTTACTAGTTTTGACATGGTGAGCGGTAATATTTGAAGTAGATTTACTAGTTTTAACATCGTGAACGGTAATATTTGAAGTATATTTACTAGTTTTGAAATCGTGAACGGCAACATTTGAAGTAGATTTCCTAGTTTTGGCATCGTGAACGGTAAAATTTAAAGTAGAATTCCTAGTTTTGGCATCGTGAACGGTAATATTTGAATAAGATTTACTAGTTTTGACATCGTGAACGGTAATATTTGAAGTAGATTTACTAGTTTTGACATCGTGAGCGGAAATATTTGAAGTAGATTTACTAGTTTTGACATCGTGAACGGTAATAATTGCAGTAGATTTACTAGTTTTGACATCGTGAGCGGAAATATTTGAAGTAGATTTACTAGTTTTAACATCGTGAACGGTAATATTTGAAGTATATTTACTAGTTTTGACATGTTGAACGGTAATATTTGAAGTAGATTTACTAGTTTTGACATCGTGAACGGTAATAATTGCAGTAAATTTACTAGTTTTGACATCGTGAACGGTAATATTTGAATTAGATTTACTAGTTGTGAAATCGTGAACGGTAATATTTGAAATAGATTTACTAGTTTTGACATCGTGTACGGTAATATTTGAAGTAGATTTACTAGTTTTGACATCGTGAACGGTAATATTTGAATTAGATTTACTAGTTTTGACATCGTGAACGGTAATATTTGAAGTAGATTTGCTAGATATGACATCGTGAACGGTAATATTTGAAGTAGATTTACTAGTTTTTGCATCGTGAACGGTAATATTTGAAGTAGATTTACTAGTTTTGGCATCGTGAACGGTAATATTTGAAGCAGATTTACTAGTTTTGGCTTGGTAGACTTCATACTTGTTGAAATATCGTTGAAATTAAGACTGCTTTAATAGTTTTGACATAAATGACATAAATGTTTGTTTATGATAACGGTAGATATATCTTATGATTACGGTATGCTTGTGTTATGATTACGGTATGTTTGTAATATGATTACAGTATGTTTATGTTATGATAACGGTATGTTTATGCTATGATAACGGTAGATATATGCTATGATTACGGTATGCTTGTGTTATGAACACGGTCTGTTTGTGTTATGATCACAGTCTGTTTGTGTTATGATTACGATATGTTTGTGTTATGATTACGGTATGTTTGTGTCATGATTTCGGTATGGTTATTTTATGATTTCGGAATGTTTGTGTCATGATTTCGGTATAGTTATTTAATGATTTCGGTATGTTTGTGTCATGACATGTTTATGTTATAACTACGGTATGTTTGTGTTATGATTACGGTATGTTTGTGTTATGATCACGTTATGTTTGTGTTATGATTACGGTATGTTTGTGTTATGATTACGGTCTGTTTGTGTTATGATCACGTTATGTTTGTGCTATGATCACGGTATGTTTATGATATTATTACGGTATGTTTATGATTTGATTGCGGTATGTTTGTGTTATGATCACGGTATGTTTGTGCTATGATCACGGTATGTTTATGATATTATTACAGTATGTTTATGATTTGATCACGGTATGTTTATGTTATGATTACGGTATGTTTGTGTTATGATCACGGTCTGTTTGTGTTATGATCATGGTCTGTTTGTGTTATGATTACGGTATGTTTGTGTCATGATTTCGGTATGTTTATGTTATGATTACGGTATGTTTGTGTCATGATTACGGTATGTTTATGATATTATTACGGTATGTTTATGTTATGATTACGGTATGTTTGTGTCATGATTACGGTATGTTTATGATATTATTACGGTATGTTTATGTTATGATTACGGTATGTTTATGATATTATTACGGTATGTTTATGTTATGATTACGGTATGTTTGTGTCATGATTACGGTATGTTTATGATATTATTACGGTATGTTTATGTTATGATTACGGTATGTTTATGATATTATTACGGTATGTTTATGTTATGATTACGGTATGTTTATGTTATGATTACGGTATGTTTATGATATTATTACGGTATGTTTATGTTATGATTACGGTATGTTTATGTTATGATTACGGTATGTTTATGTTATGATTACGGTATGTTTATGTTATGATTACGGTATGTTTATGTCATGATTTCGGTATGTTTATGTTATGATTTCTGTATGTTCATGCTATGATCACGGTCTGTTTGTTTCATGATTACGGTATGTTTATGCTATGATTACGGTATGTTTATCTCATGATTACGGTATGTTTATGTTATGATTAGGGTATGTTTATGTTATGATTACGGTATGTTTATGTTATGATTACGGTATGTTTTTATTATGATTACGGTATGTTTGTTTCATGATTACGGTATGTTTATGCTATGATTACGATATGTTTTTATTATGATTACGGTATGTTTATATTATGATTACGGTATGGTTGTGTCATGACATGTTTGTGTCATAATTACGGTATGTTTGTGTTATGATTACTGTATGTTTATGATATTATTACGGTATGTTTATGTTATGATTACGGTATGTTTATGTTATGATTACGGTATGTTTATGCTATGATTACGGTATGTTTGTGTCATGATTTCGGTAGGTTTATGTTATGATTACGGTATGTTTGTTTCATGATTACGGTATGTTTATGCTATGATTACAGTATGTTTATGTCATGATTACGGTATGTTTATGTTATCATTAGGGTATGTTAGGGTTATGATTACGATATGTTTTTGTTATGATTACGGTATGTTTGTGTTATGATTAGGGTATGTTTATATTATGATTAGGGTATGTTTATATTATGATTAGGGTACGTTTATATTATGATTAGGGTATGTTTATGTTATGATTACGGTATGTTTGTGTTATGATTAGGGTATGTTTATATTATGATTAGGGTCTGTTTATATTATGATTAGGGTATGTTTATGCTATGATTACGGTATGTTTGTGTCATAATTTCGGTATGTTAGGGTTATGATTACGGTATGTTTATATTATGATTACGGTATGGTTGTGTCATGACATGTTTGTGTCATAATTACGGTATGTTTGTGTTATGATTACGGTATGTTTATGTTTTGATTACGATAGATTTGTGTTATGATTACGGTATCTTTGTGTCATGAT